GGTAGTAACTGTGGGGGATGGATTGGTAGGAAGAGTAGAAGATTCCATTATTAGCTGAGGGCAGGATAGGCTTCCCTGAAGAGATAGGTTTTCAGAGATCGCCTAAAAGTGAGCAGAGTAGGTGATAGTCTGATAAATTGGGGTAGAGAGTTCCATAGGATGGGGGAAGCTCTGGAGAAGTCCTGGAGATGAGCATGGGAGGAGGAGACAAGGGAGCTAGAGAGTAGGAGGTCTTGCGAGGAGTGGAGAGTACGGTTTGGGTGATATTTGGAGACAAGATTGCTGATGTAATTTGGGGCAGAGTTACAAATGGCTTTATATGTTATTGTTAATGTTTTGAATTGTATCCGTTGGGCAATGGGAAGTCAGTGGAGGGATTGGCAGAGAGGGGTGGCAGATACAGAACGGTTAGTAAGGTGGATGAGTCTGGCAGCAGCATTCATGATAGATATAAAAACAAGGTTATGGCTGCAGTAGCAGCCATAAGCATGTACAGTAACTGTTTTATTCAGCTGGTTCCCAATGGTGAGTTGCTCTGTATGAAGCAAAAAGCTCTCCGCTCTGAGCATTTCCAACTTCCAAGTTGTCATTTTCTAGCTGCTGTGGCCCATAAAGATGACTTGTCACCTGCTCAAAGCTATTACATAGGGGGCTTGTTATCCCCTTTGTGATATTAACAAAGTTATAAAAAAAAGTTTAAAAAATACAATAAAATTAATAAAAATAACAAAAAATGTAAAAGCAACCCAGTCACACTTGGCACTACCTCATCTTTTATATTGTACCAAAAATGGGGATAGAATTGTGTTTGTGCTATATAATTCATGTTAGTGTACTTTTTCCTGAAAATATAGATTTGATAAACAGTTGCAATAATATCATACACCACACTACCATCCATTTATTCTACAGTGTACAGTATCTGCGTTTAGAAAATACGGCAGATTTTAACATGTGCAGAAAATGGAAGGGGAAGTAGTTACTTAATAATGTAGTGAATTCTGAATGTGCAATCAGCAATTGCCCCGCATTCACAAAACAATACAGTGGTGGACTATTACCTGTCATCGGTACAAAGCTTTTTATCTTTAGAAGAGGTGAACTCCCAGAATGTAATATTTCCATTTTGTGCCCTGTGCAACGCAATGCTTCCGCTTTGACATACATACATAGTGCCTGTGACATACATATGCATGGATATCTTTCAAACAAGTGTCAAGCTTGTTACGTGAGTCTCTGGTGGTGAACATAAACCAGGATTTAGGACATACTTCGGCACTTCGTTGCCAAAGTGATCAGATTTCTGGTTTGATTTCCCAGCATCTGCCTGGGAGGTAATTCCAGCTTTCCACCTTCACAAGCCAGGCTGGGCCTAAAGGGTGAAGGTTTCAGATTCACAGGTGTGGTGCTCAAAGATCTACCTTTGCTCACATGGGAATTTTATTTTTAGACCTCTTTGTTTTTTAAAGGCTGTGGTCACTGTGCTGATAAATGTAAAGCCTTTAAACTTTGTTCTGCAGGTATATTTTTAGATACCTTAAGGTCTATAGATAAACATTTAATTTTTAATGGCATTTTGGGTGTGATGAGTTATTTACTGCCAGTGGTGTATCTTAGTTATGAAAAAAATTGGTTTGTTTTTTTACATCGTCATCTTTATAGGGGCATATTAATAAAATTGATAATGTGACATTCACAATACATTTACTGCAGATGAATCAATTACTGTATAGATAACAAGCATATAGATATTTCATATGTATATACATTTATTTTACCCCAGGGATTTTTATGGTACCAATCAATACATATGCCAATTATCATATACTGTATTTATTTTTATTGTGTGCAATAAAAAGAGATATGATAATGGACACTAGAGTAGTTGGCATATGTAAGTACATGTAATGAATAAAACAATAAATATGGATATGGATTAATTGGTAAAAATCCCTGGGGGAAGAAAAAGTTAATTTTTTTTTAATCAGTTGCTTTAATATAAAACAAAAGCCCCAGTAAGATACACCTGAAGTGAATGTTTCGTGAATGTCACTGCTTTATAAATATGCCCCTTGTTTATTAATATATTATGGTCACACTTGTACATTTTGTTCTTTTTATGTTGTATCTCCTAACCCAAATAGATTTCAATTCCTTATTCTTGTATTTGTTTAAATAAGTAAGAAGCTCACAAAAGCTTTCCCTGTTACTCCAGGCAGCTCCAAGTAAAGGAAGTAAAAACTAGAGAGCTGTTTTAACTGCCAACGTATTATTTCTGTCTATCTAACCCTAAGATTATTATTATAAAGAATTGTCAGGCAGCACAACCAGGTAAGTGACACTACTAACAGTTATGGAATACAGCAGTGTCATATCTCTGCCCAAGCCTGCTTATTAGACAGGGAATGAGTAGAAGTAGACTGATGAGGTCAACTTTCTGCACACTCTTAAATAATATAAAAATAAAAAAAATATATATAAATTATATCAAATAAATTAGTCCCACTCCAAATCAATAAGGTGAATAAAATAAAATTGAAAAAGTCCTTCTCCAAAGAGCCTTTGACCCGTGTTGACACTGTATTAGTGCTCAAATAATATACCGCACTCACCAGATAATGGTGACAAAAACACCTTTTTAAGGTTTTTTTGGGATCCTAGACCCAGTCAATAAGCCTTCAATCACCGGGTTTGACATGGACTTCCCCCACTCCAGGTAAAGATGTTAACCAGCCTCCAACCTCCAGGATCAACAGAAACCACTCGCCAAAAAAAGGTTTTGATTGATGCAGAGAAAAATATATATATATAGTCTAATACTGCAAAACTCTGACAGAATCAATTTCCAAGTACCAAGCCACTGACATTGTTAAAAGATATAATCAGCATTTATTATATTAAATGGAGCCAGAACGCCACATCACCAGGGTATTTTAGGATCTCACAGTTAGCAACAGATGACAGCATAAGAATCACCCTCAGCCGGCGTGCGTTCCACTCACCGGAAGTGACGTGGTATATTGGGCGTTGAAGCCGGAAATTCGTCAACGCATTTCGCCCCTCCTTCAGGGTGTTTTCACAGACAGTCCCAGCCAGAGATTCCCCACTGGCACCCGGCGATTACCGAGTAACACTGGCAGGGGAGAGACCTGTGTGTAAACAACACAGATCTCTCTCCTGCCAGCAATAATATGCTGCTGTGTATTTTTCAGTATGTTTCCTTAATAAAACACACACAGCACATGATGTAAACCAGCACAGAGCACACAGTTAGTTGATCACCCCAGATGTTAACCCCTTCCTGCCCAGTGTCATTAGTACAGTGTCAGTGCTTTTTATTAGCACTGATCACTGTATTAGTGTCATTGGGATGTCAGTGGCAGTTAGTCAGTTCCCCCCAGTGTCAGAATGCCCGCTGCAGTCTCGCAGTCCCACTATAAGTTGCTGATCGCTGCCATTACAAAAATTCTGGTATATATACCGTCATTTCTAGATGCTAGAACTTTCACTTAAACCAAACAATTTGCATGTATTGGGATTTTTTTTAGCAAAGACATGTAGCAGAATACATTTTGCCGTAAATTTATGGAGAAATTAGATTTTTTACATTTTTTTACTGGATATGTTTTATGGCAAAAAGTATTTTTTTGTTTATAGCGCAAAAAATACAAAACACAGGTGATCAAATACCACCAATAGAAAGCTCTACTTGTGAGAAAAAAGAACATAAATGACATTTATGTACAGCACTGCATGACAATGCAATTGTCATTCATGACAGCATGCAATTGTCAGTTAAAGCAACACAAAAAATGGCCTGGTCAGGATGGGGGGTAAACCCTCTGGAGGGCAAGTGGTTAAAGTATCGACAGTAAGTACTGTCTAGAACAAAAAAAAATCTGGATATTACTCTCATATTGAATTGATTTCTCACTTTTTACTTCTGTTGTTTACACCATATTTAATATAATAATGACTATACAATAAAATAGTGGGCATGAGAGTGGCTAAATGGTTTGCACTTCCACCTGGCAGCAGTAGCGTCATCAGTTCAAATCCCAACCATGGCACCACCTGCCTGGAGTTTGTATGTTCTCCTTGTGGCTGCATAGGTTTCCTCCAGGTACTCTGATTTACTCCCACACTTCAATGACATGATGGTAGGTTAATTAGCTCCTGTATGTAAATGTATGAATGTGAGTTAAGGACCCTAGATTGTATGCTCCTTAAGGGCTAGGGACTGATGTGAATGTACAATATATATACACTATAATGCCAAAAGTATTGGGACGCCTGCTTTTAGACGCATATGAACTTTAATGGTATCCCATTAGTCTGTAGGGTTCAATATTGAGTTGGCCCACCCTTTGCAGCTATAACAGCTTCATCTCTTCTGGGAAGGATGTCCACAAGGTGTAGGAGTGTCTCTATGGTAATTTTTGACCATTCTTCCAAAAGCACATTTGTGAGGTCAGCCACTGATGTTGGACGAGAAGGCCTGGCTTGCAGTCTCCGCTCTAATTCATCCCAAAGGTATTCTATCGGGTTGAGGTCAGAACAGGTTTGGGGAGGTTTGGGGATGGCCCCTTCCTGGAACAGGAAGGGGCCATCCCCAAACTGTTCCCACAAAGTTGGGAGCATGAAATTGTCCAAAATGTTTTGGTATTATGACACTTTAAGAATTCCCTTCACTGGAGCTAAGGGGACAAGCCCAACCCCTGAAAAACAACTTCACACCATAATCCCCCCTCCACCAAACTTTACTCTTGGCACAATGCAGTCAGGCAGTTTGAAGGTCAGGAAGTTTAGAGGTCTTTAGCTATTGACTCTGCAGACAGTTGGCGACTTCTGTGCACTGTTCGTTTCAGCATGCGCTGACCCCTCTCTGTCATTTTACGTGGCCTACCACTTCATGGCTGAGTTGCTGTTGTTCCCAGTTGCTTCCACAAATTTCACGGATGGACTTATTGCACAGGAGACAACCTTACACAGTACCACACTTGAATGCACTGAGCTTCTGAAAGCAACCCATTCTTTCACAAATGTTTGTAGAAGCAGTCTGCATGCCTAGGTGCTTGATTTTTACACCTGTGGCCATGGAGGTGATTGGAACACCTGAATCCAATGATTTGGCAGGATGACCCAATACTTTGGCAACATAGTGTATGTAAAGCGCTGCGTAAATCGATGGCGCTATATACGTGCCTGTAAAAAAAGAGTATGTATATTGATAAAAAAGTAAGTACAGTTAATTCTAATTAGCATTTTGCAAGCAACCTGGTAAAAGGTTCTTTAAATATATGCATAAAATGTTTTCAAATATATTTACAAATGTGTATACCAAATAATATCCCAAGGAAGCCAAAATCCAATTCAATTATCTTGTTCATTAAACCAGCATTAACATTTCTGTCTGAATTCCATTTTTTATTCTTTAAAACACTTTTAATACACGGTGCAAGTGTTTTTCTGCCTCCTGCCTGGATATTTGTACTCATGTAAGTGAGAACTGTTTGTACTGAAGTGGTTCAAGCCTAAAATTCTTTGGCCTACCTCTCTGCTCCCCCTCCTTCCCCTCCCCCCCCCCCCCCCCCCCTCCCTCCCCCCCCCCCCCCCCCCCCACTATTAAATAAGCTCTAGTAAGCTCCCATTTGATTTTCTTTGATAGACCTTGATCCCAGCTTTACTTCATCAAAGAACTAATCTTCTCTAATTTAATTTTAATCTTGCTCTCTCTCGATGTTGTCCCTCCGAGAATTTGCTTTCATAGCACGGATGTTACTGAAGTTTCAAACAGTATCTCCAGGGCTGGTAAATACTTCTTTCTTGCCACCTACATAGTGGACACCGTGCCGGTTAGCTGAGAAAATCCATACGGCAGCTAAAGAAAATGCAGGTGCACGGTTTGGGTCATGATCCTTTCTACAACATTGGGGATCCATTACAGGCAGTGTTTGCATGGTGGACCAGGGTTTCTCAGTGGTGGATACATGATACATTCACAGCAAGATAATACATTATTCCAGAACTGTTCCAAAGGCTGCTGTCAGCAACTACCCATTTGTGTCTATTAATTGATGCACATGGCTATATAAGTGAAGTTTTGTCTGGATTATAGGTTTGAAGGACCTTTCAAGAAAACAAATATGTGCCTGTTAATGCCTACAAAAGAAAGTCCTAAATTCACTACACTCCATTAAGCCACTTACCTGGTGTTCACACTGTTTTAGAACATTAATCCCTTTACCAAAATAACAACAGAGTGATTGCCAGGGCCAGAATTTTCTTTGTAGCCGGCCATGCTTTTATATTCATGATTCTTCTGAGACTTTTTGCTGAACTACACCATGCTTAGATTGTAAAATTAATAAATACATGTGACTAGTTACTATGGGTAACACTATTATTTTTCTTAAAATATAAGTGCATATTTAGCACATTCAGGGATATAGCTATGAATCATGGGGCCCCATAGCAAAATTCTGATTGGACCCTCAGCTAACTCTATAGCAGCTGGAAGTGTCACTGTGACAATACGTGTCATTGATCTTAACATAAAGTATGCCTAAATCAAGAGCAGGCAGCAGGAGAGCTGTCTGCATTGTCGGTGCATTACTTGAGGCCTCCACTGCGAATCAAAGGTATAGCTGTAGTAGCAATAATAATAATAACAACCATATTAATATTTAATATGTTTGCAAAATGACTAATGTTCTTGCACACAATAATTCTTAAAACTATAACATTTTTTTACTTTTTTAGAACTACAAACCTTACCTGTCATATAAAGTGTTAGCTGAGAAGAAACTCTGGGATGTTTGACTGCATTAGGCATGCAGGGTTAATTTCAGTCTGTAGTAGAAGTTCAGAGGGCAATAAATCCATACTGCTAAGAAGATAAGCAAATGCATCTTACTGCACAGAGAGGAGTCTGTGACTAGCAATGAACCAGGAGTCTGACTTTAGCTCTTCTATACCAGAAACGCTCTTGTTTGGTCTCTTTAACAGCCTTCCTGATGGGCCCTGCATGATATCAGAGGTGGAAGGTGTCAGAATTTAAATGCTGGTATCACAGACAATCCACAGGGACAGCTTAGGTAGTCGAATGTGCCAAGCATATCTATTGACCTGCTCTTCCTTAGCTCACTTAATTGTACATGTTTATGTGAAAGAAGGAAGAAAGCACAGAATATTGGTCAACCATGCTTTCAAATCTGTGTAATGAGGGTTTGATTTACCATTAGGCACAATGGGTACATGCATATAATCAGCAGAACCAAAGAGGTGCAATTATTGGCCACACATTTTTTTTCCATCATTGGTACAATAAACTATTAAGAAACACTGCTGCCTAATTATGTACCTCATCCCATATATCATATCATAGAAAAAAAATCATAGATAGGGAGAAAAAGGGGACTTTACTGGTACCAAGGATAGACACACTAATATGTTAAAAATACAGATCACTTTTATTCATATAGCATTAAAAAAGATTGCTAAAATAGGGGAATAACATGTTGCTCAAATAAAGAGATACTGTTACAAACTGTTATACATTGCTCGTACAGATCTTCAGATTAAGCATATTGATGAGTCAACACATTTCACAAAATTGCTTCTTCAGGACCATTAATATGCTTTAAGGACAAGTAACCTAACTAAAGAAACATATATTAAAAACATCATAGCAACTTTAGATTGCACGCTCCTAGAGGGTTAGGGACTGATGTGAATGTACAATATATATGTAAAGCGCTGTGTAAATTGATGGTGCTATATAAGTACCTGTAAAAAATATTAAATAAAGAATAGCAAAATACTTACATAATTGTTTAACTGCTTTCCCACCGCCTATAGTAGAACTACTGCTACAGGGTGGCAGAGCTGCACAAAATCATGTATATATACGTGATTTGCATTTCCGGGTAGGGGGCGCTCTTGCGCAAGCTGCCCTACCTGCCACCGAAAGAGAGCTCTATTTAAGGGAGAAAAAAGGACATAAATTTAATTTATGTACAGCGTTGCATGACCGTGCAATTGATTAAACAATTATGTAAATATTTTGCTATGATGTGTCTAATATATGTTTCTTTACTTAGGTTACTCCTCCTTAAAGCATATAAATAGTCCTGAAGAAATGCGTTGGTTCATCAATATTCTTAATCCGAAGATCTGTACGAGCAATGTATAAAATTTTGGAGGATGTATTTGTGTAATGGAGCAACATGTTATTCCCCAATTTTAGCAATCTCTTATAATGTTTTATGAATAAAAGTGATCTGTATTTTTACCACATTAGTGCATCCTCCTTTGGTACCAGTAAAGTCCCCTTTTTCTCTTTATCTGGGGTTTTTTTTATGATAGGTTAGAACTAGGAAAACAAGGAACATACTGTGTAAAAGAGGTGATCCTGACAGGGGGATGCTAAAATGATTTGTGCCTAGAGTCTCCTGTAATGAAAACCCATCCTGGTGTCTGAATAGTTTTTACTGATTGCACTATGAGTGGCCAGACAGTTAGATATCTGCTGCTACAGATGTTAATTAGAGTTGAAAGTGACTGGAATGGGTGACAATCGCCAATTGTCTTCAGGGAATATAGCATGGCTCATTTATTTGTAATCAAATTTTGGGATGTAAATCCAGCTACTACCTTGGTGACTTTTAAGTTTTTAAGTTCCAATTTTATTAATGCATAGGCTTTGTTAAACATTTTTTTTAATCTACATTAATTAAAAAGTTACATAGTGTCAGCTATTCAAGTGTTTATCTGTAAGGAAACAACTTCATGTCATGCTCTGGTCTCCATTATGGAATCACTGCCCTGTAAGAATCATTAAATGTCAAGTGGATTGGCACTGGGATGAAAGATCAAAAGAGTTACAATCAGGGGCGGACAGACAACTCATGGGGCCCCCGGGCAATAGGGGATCATGGGGCCCCTGTGTCCTTGCCCAAACTCAAAAAAGCCTATGAAAAAGGTACCAGGGGCATCTCATGGGGCCCCTACTGACCCCGGGCCCTCGGGCAGTGACCGAGTTTCCAAATGGTCAGTCCGCCCCTGGTTACAATTTACTGGGCTTAGGTATTGAGAGATGGTCAAGTATGAGAGGCTTTGCTTCATCAGCAAATATGAATCTTTGTTTTGCTGCACAGGTTGGATTGTCAAGTTAACTAATTTGCATACAAAAGTAAATTTTTTTAAATAGTCCAGTTATATATATTACATGCCCCGTGGCTCAGTGCTTTGCAAATGTATAAAAAAAGGCATCAACGTTACGCCAGATCTAAGCCCCACCCAAGGAAGAAAAGGTGGGTGAGGCCTTATGAGCATCAGGAAAGTGAACTAGTAAGGAGTTTCCAAATGGTCAGTCCACCCCTGGTAAGGAGTTCTTTGGTGATGCACAGCCAATATCTGGTCATCATGGCTCTACGCAGTGAATCAATTTTTTTCTAATTATTAGTGGTGATTTATATTGTTTTGCATCTCCTAACAAATGAATAGATTATAAAACCTATTTTAGCAAATAATAGTAGAGAAGAAAAAAACACTCTCTAACACACAGTGTCAGTTATCAGAAGTGATCCTAAATACATCCAGCATGCCTATGAAAAAAAAAAAGAAAACCACAGGGAAATTCTAAAAACAGGAAATACTGCTGTAGATCACTTCTCAAAAATATATTTTATTAGGCCTTCAATCACCACGAACTTGACTGAGAAAGATACGAATAAAAAGAGTAGTGTCCTCCTTTTCAATTTGTTGGGCTGCTCCTTTTTATGATTTAATTTGTTGAAGATGTAAAATTACAGTAATTGTCCTCAAATAACTGACATTATTTGACATTACAACAACAGGGGAGTAGAACCAAATGACAAATGCACAAAAGACTTTTGTTATCTTTATTTGTCTGCCTGAATAAATCTCAACAAGTTTTACAAAGATTTAACCCTTGGCCTGCCGAGAAGGATGGGAAATTGTTGAAGTGCATCATTTGGCTGGCAGTATTGGCAGCTGATGGGTTACCATCAAAGCACCAGCTCTTGTCAAATAAAATCACAT